ACTCACACACACACACACACACACACACACACACACACACACATGTGCGCGCGTACTTATTTATGTATATATATATATATATACAAATATATTCAAAGTATATAACACATCTCTACAATTTTATAAAAATTAATTTGATTATCATTAAAAATAATTTGATATTTTTATATAAAACATTACCGTGCATTATGAGCAATTCTATCCGAATAGAAAAGCCGCACAAATGGTCGAATGTACATGCGTTTCCGGTGACATTAGAACGGACTTCAAGACTGCTTACGCGAAAAATAATTAACTAATTAAGGAATAATTAAGGATCGAAGAATGCTGTTAAGATTGAAGGAAACTTCCTAATTGGACGATACGAAGTCTTAATTGTCGGATAATTCATTGTATCTAGATCACGTCTCGATTTCTCTCAAATCTCTATCGCGTATCTTTACTAAAATATTAAAAGAAACATGCGCGTTTGTATAACAGTTAAAACCATTATATTTTTATTTTACTACCAGTTAAAGCTTGATAAATCGACAACAGAATTAAGATAAGATCGTTCACTTTATGAAATAATTACAAAATGATTAAAAGCTGCGGTTCTCACTAAACGTACAAACGAGATATTTATACGAAAATTGTATTTCATTAGTTCATTTGTAGGAAAATATTTTTTAATCGTATGACCTTCAAAGTTAATCGTAAGGATTTTTCCTCTGGCATAAATGTGACAGAAACAATAATGATACACGCTATCTATGTCGGGCGTATATCGATATCGCGATATCGATAATTATAACCATTATGAGGACGCATTCGTTAATTCTTATCGGGCTATCATTATCGTGATTCGATGATTCATCGATCGCCGACCTTTGATCATCCTCTTTTTAGTCTATCTCGCGATTGTATAAAATATGTAATCTCCATTCTCTTATCCGCCAATATTATAAGCTTTTAATCAAATTCGAATCTTATTTTGATAATTCTGTGTATCTATTATTTGTAAATAATAGTTTTATGCAAGTAACGTAGATCGTGTAACTTGATCATACAGCTTTAGTTTAATTTTACATTATCCATTAGTTTTATTTTATATTGTCCATTAAATTTGAATATAAGGAGAAATGACTGCAATTATATGGACGTTCATCCTGTGAGGATTATAATTACGCATTTGTACGTTCCTCCTATTCTTTACTCTATATCAGCTCTTTTCTGTTTCTTGACGCTTCTTTTTTTTTTTTTTTTTTTATATATGGTATATAAATCGCGTAGCATAGTCTTTTTAAAAGCTGGCCATCACATTTATCAAGACTAAAAAGCGGCAGTTAGGCATACGACATCTTGTAAAGAGAGATCGGTAGCCTTGCCGTATTCGTAGCCGTCGGTATCACAGAATCGTAATGTCGGTGCCTTCTCATTGAGCAGGTTTAAGTCCACGACGGAGATGTCTCATAAGGCGAGAAGAGCAATAAACATCTCCGAGTCTCCCCGTTAAGTCTCGGCTCCCCGCCCGTGACATTTACGAGTTGCATTCCTCCTGCGGCACGACTGTATTGTTGGGTTTTAATCGATAATGGTGCGCGTAATCATCTTTTGAATCCTCTCTCGCGAAATTCTTATCTTCGAGACACGAAACGTCTCACGACGCGGATCATATTATTATTGCGCAGATCGCGTGCGCGCTTGCTTACATTTCGGTCGAATACGCGCACGATCGTCGTGTCGTCGGACCAGGCAAAAACCTCATTGATCGGACAAAAACGATCGACGGAGAATAAATTTCGACTTTTACACCGAGAGAAATTACGCCGGCCGGCATACAGCGATCCGATCGAACTTATCTAAGCGCTCGTCATCGTGTCGGCTATACGACCCATAGCGTCCTACTGTCAAACGACACCTGTAATTCACGCCTACGAAATGCCTACGTGATCTCCCACGTGAGACCAGCGTTGTCGCGACACGGATCGCGAAGAGCTCATTATTGACTGCTCGCGGATCGATTCTCCTCCTTTCCGGTGCTATCGCTGCAGGATTTATGAACTTTTTCTCCTCGACGATGAGAAAACATGACATGTTCGTGTTTAATGATGGATTAAGTAAGAGTAAATATTTCGAGAGGCTCTTATTTCCAAACTGTCCTAAACACATATCGTTACTGAATGGGAAAGCATCCTAATGCAATATTTGAATATTTCTTTCCATGAAAACACAAAAAGAAGTTTAATAATTTTGTTTGTGTTTATTTAAAATTTGCACGGTATTAGATAAAGATTTCAAAGTGTAATACAAAAAGAGTAGTTACGTTTCTTAATTTTGCGTATACTTGCTTTTAACGTCCTGGTTTCTCACTCTAGTATAGTCTATGTGTATGGAAACGTAGTTTCACATAGCAGTAGTTTGTTGACCTGCTAATACATCTGTGATTTCGTGACACACATTGCGAATATTTATCGGCTTCGTGCTCATTGATGTAATTTTTCATACATCACCTACATGAAAATTTCTTATCACATCGAGAAATCTTCACATTTTGATATATGTTATTTTAACCACACAGATTTTTATATCTATTATTAGCTCTCTCTCTCTCTCTCTTCTCTCTCTCTCTCTCTCT